CAGTGGATTTCAACACATCATAACCTTTCCGATGATACCTTACCTGGCATGCTTTATATGAAATATCACCATCATATACAAATGATGAATATGGGGGTTACAAGGCACTCCCCCGAGGTATAGAGTGTCACAGTCTCAATTGCACTCTGCAGCACCATCTGTTATATTAGTCCTGGACCCTGTCATATGGACAGACTGATAGTTTTGCTGAATTAATGTCAGTTCTGGTAGTGACATAAGGCCAGTTACTACTGGAGAGGTGTCTATGTCATTAAAACCATCACCTTGTTTCACACAGGCCATCAAACAGCAATCAAATGATATCAAGTTATGGTCACTATCAGCCTGAGCTGTATTGGAACCAGTAACAGAAATGAGCAGATCTTTATATCACAACCTAGCCCTTGAACCATCCAATCCTCCACCCTGTATTGCAGTCACATAACTTTACCCCTTTAGAAAACTGATATTTAAAGACCAGTTTAAACCATATAGTAATGTCTAGGTAGGTCAGTGATAATATTAAGTGCAATTGCCTGAGAAATTCACCTGTGTCTGCAGAGAGATGTGTGCTGAATGTCTGATGTGCTGTAATAAATATTAGGAAGAAAAATGTTCTAAAAACCCATGAACAATGGATACAGCTTTTAAAAAACATTTCTTCCAAAAGGCAAGACATTATTTCTATGCTGAGTATTTATTATCTGTCAGTATATTACTAAGGCAACTGTCCTGTATCCACTGGAAGCCTGAACTCATTCCAGATATTTGAGTCTAGTTTTCTAACACCAAACAATGGATTTTCCCCCCGATTTGGTGTATCACTCATTAGTCAGCACACAGATACCATGGTGATGGATATGGTATAAGAATTTAGATTAAATCCAGCTCTTATTTTTGGCTGTCATACTGGGACAGATGCCACATTCTGAAGGGCAGACAACAACCTTATAACCATAAAAAATCATAAGATGTTCTGAGCTGTAGCATATTTTGGATTCCTTAGTTGCTCTATAAATGCAAGATATTTTTATATTATTATTATTATTCTATTGCAGTATACAGTTAACACAAGAAATTGGCAATGTATAAACTTTGTTTTGTATCAAGTAAGTTGCAGTGAAGAAGACAAACTAAAAAGCATAACAAAGGCATACAAGCATAAAGCAGACAGTCTTCCTTCAGCACATTTTTCTACTTCCTGGGTGTTAGTTTTATAGATAAAATCATTTTAACATTACCTGTTGGGAAACAGGTGTACTTGCATGCATCCAGCTAGTTCTTTTACAGATCCAGACTAACACGGCTACCCCTCTGATACTTGACAGCTAGTTCTTGTGCTTCTACCAGCGCATTTTAATCAGTCTGAGCTTAATTTCAGACAAGAGCCACAGGGAATACTTGCCACTGGGAAGCTGTTGCTGAAAATATGCCACTGGCTTCAAGGCTTCACACAAGAGATGTACATGATTCCAGTTTGTGTGAGTGGCACCAACAGCAAGATGGAAAGCTGAGTAATAATATTTGCTATTGGGATTTTTTGTCACTATTACACAGTCAATATTACATTGTTTTGGCTGTACAAATCATATTGTGAGATATGCAATCAAAACTATAACTAAACTGTATCTGGAGGGAATAATTATTTAAATTTTATTTCCCACATAAATGAAAATATTTTCTGGTAGTTTCACATAGATAAGTAAGAATGAACATTAAAGTACAAGACATGAATGAAGAAAACAGGTTATAACGTCACAGGAAATGGAGAATTTATGGACTGGCCCAGTGTAAACTTGTATATTAAAAAAAAAGATGGGATTTAAGCAGAGGCAGATTAAGAAGGAATCCATAAATCCTTGAGCTCTTGCTCCAGAGGTCTGAGGGGCCTTGACTCAGCAGTGAATCACTGAGAAACTAAGAGCCTGATTCTCCTTTCATAGCAATTTTTGCACAGGTGTAACTCTATTGACTACAATGGAGCTATTCCCAATTTATAACAACATGAACAGAATTAGATCCTAAAATTCTGTCTGGGTTGGGAGGGGATTGTGTGAGGAGATCAAAGAGTCTATAGGTGGCAAGGCATCAAGGAGAGTAGATTGTTTGCAGGAACCTGAGAAGGGAGATCAAGGTATACAAGGACCTATATATTTCTAGAAAGAGTACTGTTTTTGGAGCTAACCCCTAAATTGTCTTAATCTATCCCTGGATTTAAGATGAAAATGCTTATGAATTTCAATTTTACAGTGTGAGGGGCTGTTTGTGTAGGTAAAGTGAGCAGGATCTGGCCTGTACAGAAGGCCAGTCCACAAAATATGCATCACTTTAGTCCTACTTAAGCCCTCACCAGAGAGGAGTGGGACTTAATCGGTGCATAGGCCTCATTCTGGTTCTCTGCAAGGGACAAACTTCAGCCTGGGAGAACCCCATTATCTTGTCAATATGATCATCTAAGCAACAAAAATTAGCAGCATATTTTCACTTTTCTCGTGTTGCTGAAGCAAATCATTCCATGCCAGTGTGGACTCTGATATGCACCTGGCTTTTCTGACCATTCAAATCAATATTTCTTCTAAGATCATTTTACATTTTAAAATAATTAAGACAATGGATTTACTTTAGGAAAATCGTGTATCCCTTTAACACAGGGGGGTTTTCAGCACTCTGGGAACTGCAGGCGAGCAGTGTTTACAGTAAATATTGAAATAAAAGTCTGATGGCAATGAACAATGTTTGTGTTACTGAACTGAAATATAATTCTGCCTTTTGAACATGGGTAGACACTAGGAATGATTTTAGAGACTCCAAAGCCATCCAGGATTTTAAAGAGCAGCAGAGAATTCTTCAGGGCTTTTAAAGGTACACTGTCTGTTTAAAAATCACACAGCTTAAAAAATAAGTGCCAGTCCCGTGTTGCTCATGACACATTAGACTATTTTAAATGGAAGCATTATACAAATCTAATTTATTTCCATTTAAGCTGTTTGTTTGCTTTTTGAGTTGGACAATGACAACAGACCAGTCAGCATCCCATTTGTTTCTAGAGAATCTTAGTCCCTTATCTAGCACAGTGCTGTAGTGCAGGGATCGGCAACCTCTGGCATGCGGCCCGTCAGGGAAAGCCCCTGGTGGGCCAGGCTGGTTTGTTTATCTGCAGCGTCCATAGATTCAGCCACCGCAGCTCCCACTGGCCGTGGTTCGCCACTCCAGACGAATGGGGGGCTGCGGGAAGCGGCGGCCAGCATATCCCTCGGCCCATGCCGCTTCCTGCAGCTCCCATTGGCCTGAAACGGCAAACCACGGCCAGTGGGAGCTGCGACCAGCCAAATCTGCGGACACTGCAGGTAAACAAACCAGCCCGCCAGCGGCTTTCGCAGACGGGCCGCATGCCAAAAGTTGCCAATCCCTGCTGTAGCGTTTGAGTCACAAAAGCTGCAGGATGAGGTTTAAATAAAAAACAAACAAAACCCCGACTATTTTCATTTGTTAAATTAAAAACAAATCATGAAGTCATGGCTACGCTAGTGTTTGCTGAGACCAAAAGCTGTCCTTAAAGTTATGGTGAGAGTTCTATTATGACCCAGTGTTTTCACAGATTTTAAGGCCAGAACGGACCATTATGAACATCTAGTCTGACCTCCTGCATGAACAACAACAATAGAACCTCCCTCAGTTAATTCATGCAGCAAGCCCATAACTTTTGTTTGAGCTTTAGCTTATCTTTTAGAAAGACAGCCAGTCTTGATATAAAATGTTTTCACCCCTGATGAAAAGTATCATTCTAATTCTAAAGGATCTCTGGATGAGCACCTGTTCTGTTCATTCCCTCTGAAGTATCTGTCACTGGCCACTGTCAGGATACTGAGCTAGATCGGGACCATTGGTCTGACACAGTATGGCCATTCTTCTGTTCTACATAAATGGTACAAAACACCATGGCCTCAGTCCTCTGGGCTGGTTGAGCTGTGCTCAGTGTAGGACCCAGAGGTGGAGGAGTGGCTATATGCCACCTTTGTGCTTCCCCAATTTCTGAGGCTTCTTGTGGCTGATTCTGCCCCTAGCATAAGTCAGGGCAGTCTCAGGACTGTTTGCAATGGTCCCCAGGTAAGCTGAGCATACTTTGAAAATTAAAAAACATGCCACTTCTGTGGCAATGTTTTTTAGGATTGCAAAATAACCTCATACAAAAAGCCAAGCATACTTTTTAAAAAGTGCATACTGATGTCACTACTGCCAGCTGCTGACTCTGCACATGCATATTTCTTGGAGTGGGGAATTTTGTTCACTTATTTAAGCCCAGATCCTCAAAGGTGCTTAGAAACCTAACTCTCACTGATTTCATGGGTCAGAATTTAGCCAAACATGTTGCAACAGCAGCACTGCCATTTCAGGGGCAATTTAAGGGTTTTGGTTTTTTTTGTTAAGGCAGCTGGTCCTCACCAGAGATGATCAGACCATTTTCCATCAGACCAGAATTTCAATGAAAAACAAACAAAATAATCATGAACATTTTCTCAAAAAATATATTTTGAATTTTTGAACCCAGCTCTCCTCAGAACTTGCTGGAAAAGCTTTCTTTTCAGCTGAAGAAAACACCAAGAAAACACGTATTTCCTTTCTTGGAGACATGCATGTAATCTTCATGTGAGATGACTTGCAACCACAAGAGAGCACTCTTTCCTTTGATGATCTCTCAGCCTTCCTAGAAAGGTAGAGAGATACCATATAAGTTTTGCATACCGCTGGAGAACCCGCTTCAGTTAGATTGGAACAGCAGAAACAACAAAGGCTGCAGATGCATTTTGGATTACAGTGTGAAAAGCCTGTGGCTAGTTTTTCAGCTGACAGGAGATCTTGGTTCCTGAGTGGGAGGAGTTCTGCCAAAACTTTGAAGAGTCCTATAAACTTTGGAAATTACCCATCTTTTGGAGATAACTTTATCAAAAGACATCGTGAGTTACAATACAAGAGAAGTGTTTAGAGCCTGGAAGCTTGTTTATGTTTGGTGTTAACTCTATGGACACACTTTCAAGCTAGAAGAAAAGGAATACAGGAACCCTCTTATTATCTTTTGAAAGATGAAGATCAGAGGAAATGCTAGGTTTAAAGTGTGGAGTGATGGTCCTAAAAGCCAGTCTATAAATTAGATGGCATCCTGTCTCTAAAAAAGATTGAGGAGTAGAGCTGATTTTCAGTCATATAGTGGATTGTTAGTTTTGCCTTTAAATCTGGTCAAGAAAGGAACAGACTGTGGGGCAAAGGACCCAGTACAAATGTTTCCTCCATGCATGGATTAATGCAAGATTTGGAAGCCAAATTTGAAACAATGGACAGCAATAAAGATGATGGACTATTGAATGGGATGTTATTCTCTGGCGCTATGTCCATGGGTAATAACCATGTGAATCCTCATGGGTTACCACTCAGAGAGCCCTTTGGTGTTCCCTTCCATTTTGATCCAACTTACTGGGACCAAGCCTACCGTGGTTATTCAGGTAGATTTTCCTGCATCCCTTTCTCTGGATATGTAGGAGTCTATGACTATTCTTTTGAGCCTGCCTTCATTCGAAAGAGAAATGAGAGAGAGAGGCAAAGAGTGCGTTGTGTGAATGAGGGGTACACACGCCTCCGAGAACATCTTCCCAAGGAGCTTGCTGACAAACGCCTCAGCAAAGTGGAGACCCTAAGAGCTGCAATAAATTACATTAAACACCTTCAGAGTTTGCTGGACTGTCAGCCATTAGGACCTACCACTAAGGAAACAATATCTGCTAAGGAAGCTACAGATGCTTCCAGTCCTGATCTAAGAAGGGAATGCAACAGTGATGGAGAGTCTAAAACCTCTTTATCTTCATCTCCATACAGTGAGTTTGAGGAGACTTGCATCTAGGAAACATCATTTTCAGAAACAGATGCCTTCAAGACCAATCAAAAACTCTATTATTGTATCTAAATCCACACAATCGTTCTACAGGTCAAAATGTATCCTAGGAAAGAGAAAAGAGCCAGGGAAAATAAAGGTATCGTCAGTCTCTGAGAGGACCTTTTCACTGTTGTTGCATGCACGTAGCCTAAAGGTGGTTCGTAAGGATACACAAATTCCTCTCAAGTTTCCTCAGCCGTATGTACTAATTGTGGTTTAGATTATTAAACTTGAAACAGTTTTTAAAATCTAAATTACTCTTCACCTTTTATGCTGTTGGGTTACTTTTTGCATTTCACTCAGTGGGAAAATGAAAATAGATTAACCAGGTTTGGAGTTTTTTCCTAGTCAGGTTTATTTTCTAGTTTCCATGCATTGATACAATGATGCAATGTTTGGTTTGCAAATATTGTGAATGCGGGCTGGGAGGGAGAGAGGATGTAAAAATTAGATAACATATGTTCCACCAACATTTTTAAAACTCATGCAAATATTTCTATTAATATTAGGTTTTGAAAAACAATTTTAAAAAAATGAAATCTACATTTGGGGTTGAATCTATTTGGCAATGTCCTTTTTAACGCAAGCAGATGGTCCATAATTAGGATGCTTTGGAGGTGTGAGTATGTGAAGAAAACTTGGGACTTATTTTAAAGAATTACTCTCAGCAAATGGCAGACTGAAATTTCCATCCTAACCAATTCTAAATTAATGTGTTAAATATAGTTCTGGAAAACCCCAGTCAGACAAAGTCATAGTGATGAAATTGTGGTGAAGACATCCACCTTTTCCCTGTGCATCTTCATTTATATAAATTGTATTTGCAGAAAAAATGCTATTGATTATGGCATCTATTTGATGGTCGGAGGTAATATGAATGGAAACATACTCCTGTAGTGGTCATGTACTAGTGTCTTCAGAAAGGCTGAAATATATCAAGCTACATTCATATGAAAATGTGGGCATTTTTCCTTAAATTAAAAGTATTGTATTACATTTTAAAACAGACTTTTCTAAAATCCATACCTCAAGCTCTCCAATATATATTTAATTTGAACCATTGTCACTCAAAAGGCAATCAATTTTTTTCTCCAAATCTCTCACAGTTCTTTTTTCTTCATTTTCTACTTTCCAAGGCCCTGATTCAGCAAAGCACTTAAGTATGTGCTTAAAGTTACGCATGTGCTTAAGTGCTGTGTTGAACCAGGGTCCAGAATGTTGTATTCTCTCTTCCCCCTTCAAATGATCTACCCCCATAACTTAAAATAATACCAAAATAAACATTTAAACTCCCCTCCCCCACAACATTTCCAAACTTCTACTTATGGGCCTCACTTTGATTTGATGTTTTTCTCTTCTTACCTTCCTTTCCAGATACTTTGGCTGAAATCCTGAAAATATTCATGTACAAATATGAATGAACATTAGTGCTGGTCAGACACCTCAAAACATGTCCATGAATATTTGCTTAAATAAAAAATTGAATTGACTCTGACTGGTTTTATTTTCATTTTTCATGGAGATTAGTGAATGAGAAATGTTCCCAGAAACTGAATTTTCAGGGAACAGGGGAAACTAGACTCAAGGAGCTCAATTTGTTTAGCCTAACAAAAAGAAAGTTAAGAGGTGACCTGATCATAGTCTGTAAGTACCTACAAGGGAGACAGAAACGTGATAATAGAGGGCTCAAAGGTATAACAAGATCCAATGGCTGGAAGTTGAAACTAGACAAACTGAGACAAGAAATAAGGGGCACATTTTTAATGGTGGAGGTAATTAACCATTGGAACAACTTACCAAGGGTTGTGGTAGATTCTCCATCACTGGAAAATTTTAAATCAAGATTGCAAGTTTTTCTAAAAAACATGCACTAGTTAAAACAGGCCATAGGACTTCCCCGAATTAATTCCTGTGTTATACAGGAAGTCAGATTAGATGATCACAATGGTCCTTCTGGCCTTAAACCTATAACTCTATGACAAATTGAGAGAAAGCAAACATTAAACTCAGAAATGTGAATAGAAATGTAAACCTGTTAAGTGTCCTCTTCATCCAATTAGGGAATGAAAAAACAATTATGTGACATACGTGTCCAATCAGAACTAACCAGCACAGCTCTCATTTCAAATTTTGTATATTCCATATTGATTTCTAGTAATGAGTGGCTCACTAGCAATTTAAAGATCAAAATTATTCAGCAAATAATTTTAAAGAAGAAAAACATTTGGAGAAATAATCATCTGCCCATGAACAAGTCACAAACAATAAGGAGCTAAATTTGGTTTCTGAGTTATTTGCTATGAATTATTCATTCAGCTCTAATAAGTACTAAAAAGCACTGTTAAAAATGAGAGTGAAGAACAGAGGCTTAGTCACCTGCTCTTTATATACTAGCTATGTTCCCTTTTTGAAGTAGGGCTGCTTCCAGTTTCCAGACAGTGCACCTCCTGCTGCGTGGGCAGTTGTCTGTGGGGGTATGGATGATGTTTCCAGAGTTGGAATACATCTTTTCAGGTGCATATGTTTTCACATTTATCCTTGAGGTGGGAGGGGAGGGTAAGGTAGCAGTCTGAGAACAGGACTAGGATTCCAGACTTTCCTGGCTTCTACTCTTGGCTCCAGATACTAAGGCCACGTCCGTACTACAACAGCACAGCTACGGCTGTACTGCTGTAGTATCGTAGTCTAGATCCGTCCCACACAACAGATTCAGATTCTAAGGCCAGAAGGAACAATTACGATCTTCTAGTCTGACCTCTATAACACAGGGTATAGAATCTCCCCGAAATAATTCCTAGAGCAGATCTTTTAGAAAAACATCCAATCTGAATTTTAAAATGGTCAGTGACGGATAATCTACCATGACACATGGTTAATTACTCTCACCATTAAAAATTTATGCCTTATTTCCAGTCAGAATTTGTCTAGCTTCAACTTCCAGCCATTGGATCATATTATACCTTTCTCTGCTACACTGAAGAGCCCATTGTTAAATATTTGTTTCCCATGTAAGTACTTATAGACTGTGGTCAAGTCACCCCTTAACTTTCCCTTTGTTGAGATAAAAAGATTGAGCTCCTTGAGTCAATCACTATAAGGTATATTTTCTAACCTTTTAATCATTCTTGTGGATCTTCTCTGAACCCTCCTCAATTTTTCAACATTCCTCTTGAATTGTGGGGTTTTTCCATTGATGCAGGTAATCCACATACCCAAGCGGCAGTAGTTAGGTCGGCAGAAGAATTCTTCCATCAATCTACCTGCATCTATGGGGGGATTAGGTCTATCTAACTATGTTGCACAGGGTGCAAAATCTTTCTCACATCCCTGAGTGATGTAACTAGATTGATCCAATTTTTACGTGTAGACCAGTCCTGACTCCCTTTGTGGCCTCAGACAAGAGACTTTAATCCTCTGTCCTCAGTTTCCCGATCCGTACAATGGGGTTTGTGATTATAGAGGTGCTGGTTGTGACTCTATAGTTAAGACAGTTGTGTTTTTCTCACAAACCTTTGTTATCTAAGAATAATGCCTATTCACCTAAGTACCTCATGTGAAGGCTGTGAATGAATCTTAATTGTTGTAAAGTGCTTTGAAGATGAAAAGCATTGTATATATGTATAAGTGTCATTAATAGTGAAATCAATCCAAACCAATAAATTCAATATGGACATAATGACCATGTTACCTCCTGAGTATTGGATAGAATTCTAAAGAGTTTTTCAAATCACATTGTACCTCAAAGGCCTGTATTGGGGACATTGCAGAGCCAGTCCCAAGCCCCCCGCCCCTTCCTGGTTTTACCTGGCATATAAAGAGAGTGATGCATGCCTTCCCCTCTGCGGCAAGCTAGCTCTGCTGGGCAGAGAGGGGGATGATGCCGTGGCTCTTCCCCCTCCCAGCTTCCTTTCAAGCGGCTAGTGACCCAGGACATGCTAACAGAGAGCAGCAGTTACACTCAGGAGAGGACAGGGATTGCATGTGAGCATGGAGAGCTCCTGGAATCATCATTTCCTCATACGCTCTCCCCCTTCCCCCCCAATGAGCTAGACACTGACCGGTCTTTCGTATTGTTATGTGGCTCCATTTTGTTACTTGTAAATCTTTGATGTTCTGCCCTCAGAAACAAACCCTGGATAGGTGAAATAATACTGAGAAAAAAGACCGCTGGGGTCAAATCAAGTGAACTTGTTGCAGAGAAACATTTCAATAAGTTTGTGGTCGTAGTTCTTATTCTTGTTTTCAAGTTGGATATTTTACTCCTTTTAACAATTGTGAAGGCTTCTAATAATGCCAACCAGACACTAAAGATTAAAGAGTTAAAATGTAATAGCCACCAGTAGGTGATTATTATTTATGAAGGCTGGAAATGAACTGTTAGCTGGGAATGAAACTCCTTCCATGGAACACTGTACTGGGAAAAAAAGATCCTTCTGGGAGAGAAAGCTCTATATTTTGTTTTCTCACAATCCCTGTTCTCATACAAGTATTGTGCTTTGTTTTAGCACAAGGAAGTACAAAATTGCTGAAGAATTCCCAAACACAAAATACAAAAATCCTATATGTAAAAATGTCAACAAAATTTTCTAGTGAATACTGAAGTTCAAAAGCTTTCCTAAACTGTATCTGTCTAGACAAAGGTTTTCTTCAAAGCTTCTAAAATGTATCATTATCAGACTCTGAAAACAGAGGATGATCCAACTTGTCACCCTGGGAACTAATGTTTTCATAAAAATGTTGAACAGAAGAATTTGCTTCATTTGGCACAATTACAGTTTGCAAGAAAGACAAGTGCTGCTATCCTTAGGAAAATGCTCAACAATTTTATCAAACTTTTGCACACCAAATTCATCCTCTGTAATCTTTCTATCACACATGGGAAAAGAATGTCTGAAGCCCCCCTACCCCCTCCTCCTCCCATTAAATTATAAATCCATTTGCTCCTTGATATTATCACAATTTTAAAGATGTATAATCCTGGCCATGGAATTGCTTTTAATCCCCTAATAGCTATCTAGCTGATTTCCTCAATCAAAGCCCATCCATACTGCTTTCATGTTATATTACTCAGTGTCAATAAATGTCCAAAGAAAATCACAAGGCACTACAGGAAAGTATACTTCAGACAGTAAAGCAATCAAAGCCAGTTATCTCATTGGAATAAGTGA